GGCCCGGGGGAAGTTCAGTTTTTTAGCCTGCAGGAACGGGGCCACACCTTGTTCGGAAATCCCTGCCTTCCCCTGGCAGTTTCGGGTGAGGGCCGCGTCACCCCGGGGTTTTGATTGCGTTGGTAACCTGTTTCTGTGACTGCTGCATCCTGCCGTATCGTTTCGTGATGTGTCCCGGCTCCTGCTTAGGGAGTTACCGAATTTATTACCCTCCTGGCAGGATGTTTTCTTCCTCCTTTCCCCAGTTTGTACCCACACAGCACCAAAGCACACCCTAATCTTGCCCTCCCCAAGATTTAAAGCAGCCAGTCGTGCCACCGAGGGGCTGAGCGGTTTCCCCGAGATGGATTTCAATCCATTGGGATGGGCAGAGTCTCAGCACCCGGAGCGTAGAGGCGACGTCTTCCTGAGCCACCATTCACGGCTGCGCCTCCTCACCACCTCTGGGTTTGCGCCGTCGGGGACGGCGGTGACAAGGACACCGTCGTGCTTTACACGCGTGTTGTGTTGTCACGGCCCACCTCGGGCTGACACAGCTTGTGTTGGAAGTACAGTCCCTTCCCAGCCGCACGCCCTGGACTCCCTAGTGTTGGCAGAAATCAAAATAGAATTCTTCCACAAAACATGCTTATTGCTTAGCACGCTCACGGAAACCAGAATTGTGCCAGCCAGAACAATTCTATGATTCTAATGCTTTGGGTTGGAAACAAACTGGGCGGGCAGTGCGTGTCACCCAGTGCCAACCCTGCTTGAAGCAGGACCCCCGCATTGGCCTTGGACCCCCTCGGTCGGGATGCTCAGGGTGATGCCCATGCTCAAAGAGCACTCACAGCAGGAACTTCGCGTCCTGTGGAAAATCCGGATGAAGATACGAGCCAGGACCGGGTACTGATCTATAAGTACCGTACATTCATTTTGTTTGGTTCTCTCTTACTGCATATTGTTATAAACAAAAAAGAAAAAATCCCACCTAATCACGCAGCAGAAGCGCTCTCCCGAACTTGGCTTCTGCCACGGAAACAAGACGTGGACATGCCGTTCAAAAGTAATTATTTTTATTTCAACTCTATAAAGTATACAACAGGCACTCGGCAATTACAGCTGCAGGGAAAATACAGAGCAAAACAAAAGCAGTTAAAGTTATGAAAAAAAGTTCTTAAATCTACATCAAAAGAGTGCAACCGGCCGACGACCGGTGGATGACCGACATTTGTCCGACAAACGAAACCTCTTTTATGTAAGAAGAAAACGGGAGAAAATAAGAATATAAAACAACAGGGCCAGTGTAAAAACAGTGTAAGTTGGGACTCGGGACGATAGGCAACTCCAAACGAGAATTTCCCCTTTTGCCGCTAAAGGCCTTAAAACCACCCAAGTCTCAGCCTGGTTTACGCGGCCGGGGAGCTGCGGAGCACGAGAGGCCTCCAGCTTTCCAGCTTGGCTCTGTGGGAGCGCCAAGGGCTCGCCTCTGCCGGGGGTTGCATATAGAAGGAGTAGGAGGAAAAGCACAAATCCTGTTTTGTTGAGTGGTGCAAACGAGCTACGCCTTTGCGTTGGGGTTTCAGGTCACAAAACGCAGGTCGGGTTGCCCGCCGAGTCACTCGTCGTTTTTGCCGGATGGGAGATTTCTACCGGGGTTTGTGTGAGACGGGAGGTTGGTGCTGGACGGCACGATAGGTTGAATCTGCACAGCTTAGCAAAACAGGAATACCTGTCTACAGACTGATAGGATGTCATATATTAATTTGACCCGCACATAACATTTATACATTTCACAGAAATGACTCTGTATCTCATTAACAGATACACAGCTCTGGTACATTGAACAGAAATAAGAGAACGACTTCATCATTTCTGTAATTCATCAATATTATATAATAAAGGCTTAGAAATCGGTAGCAGAAAGAACTGTAAAACGCAGCAAGCTAAGAAAGGACAACATTTTGAGGTGTGTTTGTCTTTGTCATGCAGCATAACACCAAATTTGTATTTTGTTTTAATAGGATGCCATGAATTTAAGGCACTTGCAACAATGCCAGATAGCTAGTCATGTTCTAAAACTATGGGACAGATGAGTTAACAGTACAGTTGACATAAATTTTAATAATACTGACAATTATGACATTAATTCAAGACCTTGATCTAAAAACATTACATTACAAATAAGAAAAATGAAGTAATAATGCCATGGAACTCTGAAAAAAAAGTTGTATGTGTACCACAAAATATCAACACGAAAATACCTATTTACATAAATACTCGCTTGTGGTCCTGTTGTTAAATAAGAGTTTGCTGTGGATAATGCAGCACTGTGAGAAGCCACGGATCGTCTGCGTCTTGACGACACCAATCTTAATTGGTTGTTTTAAATACGGGAGCTGACTTCCCCTTACGTAAATACGCTGTCGTCCCATACATTAAAAAAGGAGACAGAGGAGAAAAGGGCAGGAGGTGGAATCACAGAGGCAATCCGTTGTTGTGAGTATATATATATATATATAATATGCAACTCAAATATATTACTTATAAATGCCGGCGTTTATCATATACATATGCTAAGTACGTTGTTTAAAGTAGGTGTAGGAAAGGCGATGACAGTCGAGGGAGGGGCTTGATCTCCAAATAAACTGATACTCGGCAGAGCGCGTGCTGCACGCTGCAGGTATGAGTTACCGTGCCTCAGGAAAAAGAAAAAAGGGATAGGAAGGAAGAAAAATAACTCATCAGCCCGTTTCAAAACCTTCTTCCCGTCATGTTTGTGGGTTGCCCCCAAAAATCGCTGTGATGCTCCTTCCTCCCTGCAACCCCTTGACTGACAGCTGCATCTCAGCTCCCGAATACCATAATTTTGGGACAAACTCCTCTCTTCGCTCTTCTACGGAAACTTAACAAATGCAACCAGTTTTCTCCTCCAATGCCACTGCATCCGTCGAGTGAAAAACCAGGGGGACGTGAGTAAAGAATTCGGCTCTCAGGCAGCAGCCTGTTTGCCAAGATGCCCAGTGATTATTTTAGCCCTCGTATTCGATTCAGCGTTGGCTTTCAGTGTCTTCCATCCCTCAGAGAAAGGCTGAAAAGCAAGCATCTATTGGCCCTATACGAGTAAATCCCGGTAGACCTAGTTACCGTCTTTTCCCTGTGGTTCTCAAGGCAAACAAGTTTTAATGATTAATTAATAGCTGAAATAACCTGAAGTTATCGTGCCGATGGTGTCGCTTCACCCTTCGGAAAACCACGGAGCAGATTCAGCGACACGGGCTGGTTTCAAAGGGGTCGTGGTGACTGAGCTCTTTAGTTTGCTGGCAAACAGCAGACATTGTTGATGCTGTCGAAGAAGGGGAGAAAACAGCATTTTTTATCATGCTCTATTAAGTCGCTTTCTTTAGGAACATGGGAGAGAGTTGGGATCTAGCATCAGGGAAATAATTTTTTACCGTTACAACTTTTTCCATCTACTATGTAGGCAAAAGTCATATAAATACTTCTGAGCAGAAGTTCACCTTTTGAATTCCTGCGTATACAACAGCTCTTGGCAGCTCTGAGATGAAATGGGGCAGCATCTGCTCAGTTTTGGGGGCAGGGTCTGTGACAGAGACTGAAAGCTGCTAAACTTGTAGTCCCGTGCATATGCAACAAGCAGGCATCCAGGACAGGATTCCTCCGCTGCATCCTACGAATCAGAAGGTACTGCACTAAAGCCAAGGAAAAGCAGTGGAAGTGAGAGAAAAGGTGTACACACAATAATATTGTTTTCCCTAGCTCTTTTTTTCACACGAGCTGACACGGCTCTAGCCATCCCCACGCCTTAAACACGATCACAGGGACCTGGAACTCCAGAGACACGGCGACCTCGCGCTAACACATCCAATCTCAGTTTTCCATTTAATTCCACTGACTTTCCTGTGGAGATCCTTAGGCTGGTGAGGCATTCGGATTACATTTTTATGGGCAACGTTACAAACAGAGCCAGCAAACTGGCCCTGTGCCACCTTTTATTTTACTTAGCTTCCTACTAAACACGGAAGAGATGCAGACCTGGAGATGTAAAATCATCTAAGAGCGTGATGGAGAGCGATGCCTCTTGCTACATATTTCTGAAACGGTGGCTGACAGTTTATATTCACAGACGAAGGATGTCCATAGCACCTATAAAGTACGTTATGGGTCTCACATTTTCCCTTTGGGTTCTAAAAAGGTAAACATTAAGCTCAGTTTTATGCCTAACAGCTAATCAGTAAGACCGGAGGGCTGCTATCACTTTATTACAGGACCATTGTTTAAGCACTATTTTATATGTAAAATGGATTACTTTTAGGATTTTTTTTTTCATGTGTACCAAGGGAAAGGGAAAAAAACGCTCCAAAAGTCACGGTACAGTGCGTTCGCAGCTGTATGAGAGAAGCGACCCACATCTGTCTTAACGGGATCTAGAGCAGTTGTGCTTTTGTTTTACCAGGCTAAAAAAAAAATAAATCTCAGAATGAAAGAGGAAAAAGGTAACATTCAGTCTGGTCAAGAATACTGCTCGGAAAGCAAAAAGGACAAATCTGACCACTGCTCTGACGTGAGCTCTTTGACCAGTACCGTTGTGGTTCCTCCGCTGCTCTACTGGCCTACAGTAGAAGACCTACAGAGTTTGGAGGGTGGGAGTAGCCCAAATCCTGCACTGTATTTAGCTACAGCACGTAATAAATTACTATTGATCCTACTGATAAAGCCAGTACCTTGCAGCTAGAATTAAGTGCATCTTACACTACGTATCTCTCGACTTCGATAATTAAGAGTGTAGCAAGATCGTCGCAGTGATAGAAAACATATTTCTTTACTGGTGAAAGGCTTTGCGTCAGGACCACCATGTCAACTGCTATTTTAAGTTCGAACATAAAACATGAAGAGCACTATTGTCATCTAAGCAATAAGTCCTAATGCCACTGTAGTTACTGTAGCAGCATCAATCAAGGCATCATGGTGACCCCGAGCGCTAATCCTCCCCAATTCTTTCGGTTTCGCTGGCAGCCATGTCCCAGGAAGCTGTCTTCAGCAAGGCAGAAGCAGGTAAGAGAAATACATTAAAAATCTATGTCCCATCCTGAGTTGTCGTCAGGGGGTGGTTCATCACTGTCCTCCGGGAAGCTGTCAAAATTGCTTGTGTCTGTTGGAGATGCAACCTGTGGAAAGGAGAGAGCAACAGGAGGGGGACAGTCATCAAAGTGGACCTGTGCAGACATTTCCTCTCCCCCTCACAACCGTGGTCCTTCAAAAGCATTCACTCCTAACTGCAGCGAGCGGGAGAAGTTCTGCGTTTAACAACTTTTTGCCGAATCCCAGCAGGAAGTTCCCACAGCCCCCCTGCTCTCATGATCCAGGCCCTCTAGGGTCTCCAGTTCAAGAGCAGCTGTCCTACCCGTGGTTACGAGGGTGGCAAAAAAGACTAGGAAAAGCCCCGGGCCTCCCCAAAGCCCAGGATTTCTGATTTAAGGGTCCAGGATCCTGATTTTGAGGCTGTGAGCTGGGTCCTACTGCTTCAAGTTTCCTGACAAGACCTGCTCAGCCTACAGAGCCTATCAGAGAAACTCATCTTCCTAGGATGAAGGCCAAGTACATTTCGTTTCTGGAAATAATGTCATTTAAAATCTAACACAGCTAGATGATTTCTGATTATTCTTTTTATAAAGACGACCAAAACTTTCTTATAGTGAGACCCTGATATATTCAATGCAATTTAAAAGAATGAAACAATACAAACGTAGAGCAGCAGCTCTCCAGACCAAAACAATCAGTGTCCTACCAGAGAAATTCGGTACCTTAAGTTGTTCCCCAAGCAGCCAGTGCAGGCTGGAGGGGACTGCACTTGCCATAGGAGTGCTGCGAGGGAAACGCGGTAGGTTTTTAGCCATTTCACTCGTGCAACTGGTGGAGAAGCCATGGCCAGAGCCCAGCCTACAGCCCAGGAAATGTATTTGATGCTGGATGCTGCTATAAAACCTTGGGAGAAGACTCCTGGATCAACAAGAGCATCAACTTCAGCTCTAAATTTAATTTGCTGCCCTGCTGCATCAGCATTTCCCTGCTGCTGAAAACATCTTGGGGAGAATTAAGATCCTTGAATACCCAACTCACTTTGAAAAAAAACAATCTGTAAAAGCTTAGGGGAGTGCTACAGAGCGACAAGATGCTTCACTGTCTACTGAATCCTGTTTACTTTGTTGGTGTTGACACTGCTGGGTTGGAGAGCCTTCACCCTTCGGATCCTCACCCTTCGGGTGCCACACACTCCATGGTGTCGTGGGGGCTGGACCATATCCCTATTTATCTCAGCCCACCCCATGTGAGCTCTCCCTCTGGGAGCAGAAGTGTTGGGGGTGTATGTACAAGACACCAGCTACCAAGGTATGAGATACACAGTTGGTGTGGCTGTTCACGGAGGACACGCACGAGCTGTAGCTTCTTGCGAAAGCCTCTCAGCAGTGATGGACAGTGTGTAAGTGTGGGGTGAAAACATTTGTGAAAGCATCTATGGAGCTCCCCAGGGCTCCTGTGCAGCTGTCCACCCTGGGAGCACCTAGCAGGGCTGGCACCTTCTTTTGAGGTCTGGTTAGATGAGGCTGTAAAGGAAATAAGCCCTGTTTTGGGCTTATTTCCTTTATTATGGAACACAAAAGGCAATCATGACAAAATAAAAAGGCTGCATATATCCAACACCTCAAATGTAGAGGGTTTTCTTTTTCTTAGGAGAAATACGATTTAGGGAAGAAAGGTTGGATGAGTTGTTACTCTGCTGATTGACTTTATGTGATGCTAATGCTGTTGTGTGTAATTCCCCACAGCTCTGAAGTCCAGGTCACCTACGTGGCCTGCAGTCCTTCACTCTCAGAGGCACGGGAACAAACATCCCTCTCAATGCCCTCTCCAGCCAGGAAGGGACAGTCTATAGATTTATCTCCTGTCCATCCAAGAAGACAGAGTGCAAACGTCAGTAGGAGCTGTCTGGCTGCTTACCAGCATCAGGGCTTGAGATGTATTACAGTGCACAGATCTGCACATCCTTATCAAAGGCAAGAGCTGTAAAGCAAGACAGCACGTCTTTGGAAGAGTCAAGAAGTAAGAGAAGCTTTTCAGGACAGTTACCATCACAGATTTAAGTGGTAGTATCGAGGCTCAGCTGGTCCCTGAACCAACATCCTAGCAGCAGACTGTAAACTGAGATCTCCTAAAATCCTGTGGAATAAGAGCTAAGGAGCAGCTTTCAGCTGCCTTCCCAGTAGTACCACATATCTGCTGATGAGGGTTTAAGAGCCGGGGAAGGCCTTTTTCTTAAGGAAATAGCTAGTCTCTATGTTTAGCCCTTCTGGCTCCTTTCCAGCTAACAAGGAGAGGTGCTCTGATTGAATGAAAACTTGATTTCTTTTCCCAGAGCCACTTTAGGTCACTTTTTAGCTATGGCCCTTACTGGCAGTTGGGACTTTTGCCAAAGCAACTGAGCTGGTTGTGGGAAACAAGGCTAAGCAGGACTGACAGCTTTGGAGTGGACAAGGCTCACTAGTTAATGCAGGCAGGTTTTGGAGAAATCTCAGGAGTATGTCTAGAGAACATATTACTCTAGGAAAGAAAAAGCTGTGTTGAACTGGGATTAGGGCAATGTATGACTGTCAGCATTGAGTTGTCCTGGAAGAAGGATTCATAAAATCCTACAATGGTTTGGGTTGGAAGGGACCTTAAATATATCATCTTGTTCCAACCTCTCTGCCATGGGCAGGGAGGCCTTCCACTAGACCAGGTTGCTCCAAACCTCATCCAGCCTGGCCTTGGACACTTCCAGGGATGGGGCATCCACAGCTTCTCTGGGCAACCTGTCCCAGTGCTTCACAACCCTCTCCGTGAATGGCCAATCTAGATCTACCCTCTTTCAATTTAAACCCATTATCCCTTGTCCTGTCACTACAGGCCCTCGTAAAAAATCTTCCCCAGCTTCCTTGTAGCACCTTCAGGTACTGGAAGGTGCAATAAGGTCTCCCCGGAGCCTTCTCTTCTCCAGGCTGAACAAGCCCAAAGCTCCCACCCTGTCCCCAAAGGAGAAGTGCTCCAGCCCTCTGAGCATCTTCGTGGCCTCCTCTGGACTCGCTCCAACAGGTTCACATCCTTTTTACGTTCTTATTCTTCTGAAGAGAGAAGGATGCTCCTGTCTACTTCAGACAGCCTTGATGGTGGTGTGCTGGCCAAAAGGGTGACAGCAGGTCATTCTCTTGGGAGCAATCACAGACATGTTCTCTGATAGAATGTCACCAGGCCCATGAATATCCAGCCTTGATGATGTCAAGAAATAACTCCAGCAAAGTGAACTGGGTGTTCACACAACCCTTTTCTCCTACTGTGTTGAACCTAACTGAAAGACGTGTGATTTCCTGCATGGCAGGTTGGACAGCAACCTTCCTCTAGGCAATGCCAAAGGAGCAGAGACCACTTCTGGTGCTGGAACAACGTCCCAGCCCGGGGACAGCAGGGAGCAATTCATGCCAATAGAGAGCAGATACCGCTGAAGTCACTGCTGCCAGTCGTGCGGTCCAAGGGTTACACATGCGGGGTCCATATGTATACTGAGCAACAGCAGTATTGGAAATGCTCTTACTAAACTAAAGATCCACTAAAAACAGTTAGAGAAACATCCTGGACATTTTTCAGGCTACACTGACATCCTACACAGGAAAACCATGAACTGTAATGGGATGTAACAGAGCAAACTCAACTCTACTGTCTGACTTGAAATGTGGTGAACAGTTCCGCTGACAAATTAATAGTCATTAAAAAGCAGCTTAACAGAAAAAACACAGTTTTGATTTGTAAAAGATTAGTATGTTCTTTGGGCATTCTGCTTTAGGCAAGTATTTGTAAAGTCTTTCTCTCACCGACTGCCAGTAACTTCTGCAGCCCACAGGGCAGAGACACAAAACCCTCTTGCTTTTTCATAGCTCCTAAGAAAACTTTGGGATGGCAGATTTAGCCCTGAAGCCATGCCTGCCGCTGCTGCAGGAGATGCAGGACCATGGGTGGACGGAGCAACGGGGTGCAATTAAACACAATTGCTAATGTCATTCTCTCGGTGATCCCGCGGGAGAGGCAGGGAGAGAAAGGGATTAAGTTGAAACAAGGAGGGGAGGCTGCAGAACAGAAGGGGCCAAGGTAATTTCTATCAGCTAATCCTGTTTGGTTTCCCTTTGCAGCAGGCTTTGTGGGTAAAGAGCTCACAAAGACATCAAAGGAAGAGCTTTGCTCCAAAGGAAAATGAGTCGAGCTGTCCCTCTGCGTCTGCTCCCAGTTAAACATAAACTAGGCAGTTACAGGGCTTTTCATGTAGGACACAGACGCAGGGAAAAAAAAAGGGTGAAAAACACAAAAGAAAAGACGGAGGGAAAGGTTAATGCAAAAGAAAAGGGAGATGGCATACAAATCCCACTTGTCTTGTGCAAAGAAGTAAGAATAAAGGAGAAAGAAAGAGGACACATCTGAGAGAAGGGGTGAAAGTGGCAGCTCTCCACCGAAATGTGAAAAGTAGACGAAGAAACAAGTGGAGCAGGTGAGGAAGAGAAAAACCTGTAGTAGTGAGTGATGCTGCCCCAACCTCCTGCTGCAAAGAGCATTTCTTTGCAGTCATGCCCTCCCTAAACCAGCTTCTCCTGGAAGAGACTGCCCGGAGACCAAGTATAGTCTCTAATGTGACTTCTTTGAGCATCTTTGGAAGAAATAAAGCACATGCTGTTGCCACTTATCTACAGTGCATTAGCACCCCAAGCTCACAATATTCATGTAAAAGAAACTTACTGGCTGGGAAGGAGAAAATAAGTAGGAAAACTTACACTTGGTATTATAGGAGGTGTCAGTGTCCCTTTCCGTAACCCTTCCCAGTTAAAGCCTTCAAACCATCTAGAAGGGAGGGAATAATTTAAGCAGTTAGACATACGGTGAAAATCTCTCTGCAGCACAAAATGAAATTTAAATTGCTTAAACAGTGGGTTTCATCTCCTGTAGTCATCTTCTTCAAATTGTCCAATTAGCCTAAATAACTTTTCCTGTCATCATTATGTATATTATTTCAGGACTGAAAATGAAGTGTGTGTAGCAACTGGGTGGTGGTACCACGGCAAGTACAAATTACCAGAGCTCAGAAGAAAACCATTCCTCACTGCAGATGTCCTGGCAGCTGCTCTTTCCTTCCTAGAGGGTCGATCCCACCCACACGACACCCTCAATGGCCCCTCTTTGTATGAGTTTGGCAGCTAAGGGCATGCACAGGGATGTTCTCCTCCTGGTCGAGCCACAGCAGCTTAGGTGGGTGGATGAGCCCTGAGCTGAGCCTTCAATCTGTCTACCCCAAAATGTCCATCCAACCCATTTCTGATGCTTTGGGGATGAGAGAAGAGAAGGCCCAGCATGGATGGATGAGATAACCTGCTTCTGCAATGTGTCGCTAACTTGTTCTTATTCCCCTCCAGCAGTGTGAAAACTTATTAGACATCACTTAACTAACCCCCATCAGATCACAAGGGATGGTGAATTAACATGAGGCAGAGAGAGAAAGTGTGCTGGGGGGTGTGTCGGGAAGGGAAATCAAGGAGAAGCTTGGAAAGTGATTCTGCCAACCAAAAAAATCCAAGCAGGCAGTGGCTGAGTTGCATCGCTTCCAAATCTCTTCTGCAATTAGAGTAATTAAAGCGTACTGGTCAATGCATAATGCGTTCTGCTCATTGGCAAGGCTGGCATCTACACCAGACCACCGGGGAAAAAAGTCTGATGGAAATTCAGAGTTTAGAGCGCATAGAAGGGAAAGGCCCAAGGAGTTTAGGCGTAGTATTTCGTGCAGAAAACTAAAGTGTCTGAAAGGCGTGTTTCTGTGGGTTCGATCTGACGGATGGTGGTGAAGACACTTACTTGTGCTTTTGGATATCTTTCACTCCGTTTTTCAAGTTCCCTAATCTTTCTGATGGATTGTCCCTATAAAACAAATTAACAATTCAGTTACTTTCTTAATCCTTCTGAACAATTCATTTCTTTGCAAATAAGATCAAGGTGATTGTATTTCATGTGCTTACCTGCATAGTTTCTTAATTAAATTAGCAGCATTTTTGGCAATCTTCTTTGGAAATTCAATCATGTCTATTCCCCTTAATATGATGTTGTAGGTCTTCATGGGGTCTGGGCCTGAGAAAGGGGGACTTCAGAGGGAAGAGGAAAGCAAAGGAGATTAAAAGCTTGTCTTTAAAATAGCACTGAAGATTGATTAAAAAAACCCAAACAAAGCGAAACATAGTACCCTACTGAAACGAGAAAAGGTAGATAACAACTAGCAGTGCTTTGCTTCCTAAGGTCTTAACCATTTCTCAGCCAAGGAGCTCCGACACTGCCTGGATTTCAGTGATGCTGGCTGGGGGGGAAGTACGGAAGAGTAAAGTCCTGTTTTCTGCAGCAGCACATGCTAAACCGCTCATTTCCATGATGGCCCCTGTCCCAACAGCCCGAGGAACAAAGGTCTGAGGAACGCTCGCTGGCTTATTCTCTGTTTGATGTTGTGACATGCTTTCAGTGGGGATTAATTAGGTCCCCAGTGGTTTAACAGAATAGGGGCCTGGGTTCAGACCCAAGGGATAAGCAGGTTGAGGTGATGGATCCTTTCTAGCTCCTGTATCCTGGGAATGAATGATGGGGGACGATGTGAGGAAGTGACAGGAAGCCACTACTGCCAACATGAACAGTAATACATAAATCCAAATGTAAATAAGGGAAGGGATAGATAGAGGGACTCAAGTCCCCATGGCGTCAGGTCTGCCTCCTCCTTTTCATGTATGGCGACCCACCGCTGCACCTCCCTGGTTGAACTGCAAACCCTCTCCCCACCATGTTCAGCTCACTCAGGGCCAAAAATTCATTTTTGGTGTCATTTCACAGCATTTCCTAAAAATCCTGCTCATGTTGAGACCCGTTGAGAGATCCATAATTTAAAATTATTA